ATCAACTGTGGACCACTTTTCAGAACAAACGGCAGCTTCCTGATCAGTCCGTGAGTTCCTATATCTCAGACATGCAGTCTCTTCGAGATCAACTGAATCTTGGTGCACCTCAGATTTATGATGAGACTGTCCGTCAGTTTCATGCCTACTTTAGTCAGCTTCATCTCATCACCATCTTGATGGGTCTCACTGACAAATTTGAGAATGTCCGTGCTTCTCTTCTTCACAGACATCCGTTGCCCACTCTTGAAGATGTCATTACTGAACTACTAAGCGAGGAAACTCGTCTTAATTTGCGCTCTCCTATACCTACTGAGACGATCTTGCACACATCATCCTCAACAAGGCCAAGAGGTAAGTTTAACAATAATTATGGTAAGCCTAATCACAATGCCAAGCAAGCAGGAAGACAGACTACCGRTGAATGGAAGCCAAACACAAATGAGTGTACCTTCTGTCACTCTACATCTCATCTTCTCTTGGACTGCCCCGTTCGTACGTGCCGATACTGTGGAGTTACACAACCACGTCATTACCAATCCGATTGTCCTCAGAATCCAAATCCAAGAAATTATCAACATCGAAACCAATCCGTTGCCAGATCGGTCACTCCAAGTGAACCTTTATCAGTCCCTGTTGCAGGATCGGTTTCTTCATCTACAGATCTGATGGACCTCATGCGTAGAAATCAAGAGCTCATGGAACAAATTATGACAGGTTCTTTTGGTGTGAATTCTCAACACTCCTCGACATCAGGTACTATGTGGATATTTGATTCTGGTTGCTTTAACCACATGACACCTTGCCCTGATGGTTTTCTCTCTACGCAACCTTATCACCTTGCATCTGTTAAAACARCAGATCTTACTCCTTTACCTGTCTTATTCAGTGGTAACTTATCCACTGATAYTGTTCAATTATCTGATGTCCTACATGTGCCACGGCTAGCCTTGGGTCTAGTATCTCTTACTCAACTCCAGGAACTTGGTGTACTAATATTATTTCATTCCTCTGGTTGTCTTGTGCAGGATCCAAAGACCAAGCAGATCCTTGGTGTAGGCCGTAGAGTTGGACAGGTGCTTGAAGTGGTATATATGCGTCTTCCCTTGCAATCACCAAATTTTGTTGCCTCTGTGTCTAGTACAGCTTCATTTGATCTATGGCATGCTCGTCTAGGTCA